CTGGTGTAAACAGGGGAGGGACCAGAAAGGGGAAGGATCAAAGGTCACAGGGAGTGGGAACGGACAAAAGAGTGTGAGAGTGAAGGGATGATGCGGGGGGGGGACAGTATTGAGGTGGAAAGGGATGAAAGATGGCGGGAGATGTGTAAACACAAACAAGGAAGACCAGATGGATTATCTGTGACAGAGGACAATGGAGGAAGAAAAGGATTAATCATTTCCAAGTTGGATGTTGAGACCATGTGGTTGAATAGTTCGAAGACGATTCATCCACACCTTCTCTCTGCTGAGGCGAACTGACTCTTTGCGATGGCCAAGAGATTCAATGCCCTGCAAAATCATATCAGAAATGGAGTGGTTAGGCAGGTTGAAGTGATGACCAACAGGGGTGTCTAGTTTCTTGGTGTTGACCGTTGACCGATGGGCATAGAAACGCTTCTTGAGCGTATTCTTAGTCTCACCTACATACTGCACTCCACAGACCCTGCAAGAAATGAGATATATGACATTAGAGGTGTTACAAGTGATGTTACCAATGGTTCTGTGGGTAGTGACAGAAGAGTGGCCAGAAAAGGAGTCAGACTCCTGGATATGAATCTGGCAGACAACACATCTGGAACTGCACTTGAAAGTACCATGCTGGGTGGGAGGGGATGCATCTAAGGATGGGACTTCAGCTCGAACAATCAAGTCCCGTAGATTTCGAGGACGCCTGTAAGCCAATGTGGGGCCGTTGGGGATGGCGCGGGCAAGGCGATCTGAAGTATGGAGGATATGATGATTGTCATTAGTGATTTTGCGGAGGGGAGGGAGATTGGGGTGAAACGTGGTAACCAAGGGAATCATGGGTTTGGCCATGGCATCAGGGGCCTTTCCCGTGAGAGCTTGATTTCTGGGGATAGATTTAGCTCTGGCAATGGCACGATGAACTTGGCGAGAGCTGTGACCCCTGGCCACCAAGTTGTTCTTCAGTATCTGTGTATGGCGGGAGAAATCGGAATCATTAGAACAAATTCTTCTGAGTCTGAGTGCCTGGCTAAACGCTATGCCAGTTTTGCAGTGCCTGGGGTGACAGCTGGAGGAGTGGAGGTACTGGTGGGTGTCTGTGGGTTTGGAATACAGGTCAGTGGTTAGTGAGTTGCCTTGCTTGCGGACGGTGACATCCAGAAAGTGGGTTTGGTGAGCCGAGAACTCCGATGTGAATTTGATGGTTCTGTGGAAGGAATTGATGTGGTTAGTGAAGGTCAAGAGACTGTCCTCATCACTGGTCCAGATGAAGAAAACATCATCAATATATCTCCACCAGATCCAAGGGCGACATGGGGCCGAGGCAAGAATGCGTTCTTCGAGGTCACCCATGAAGAGGCAAGCCATCGACGGGGCCATGCGAGTGCCCATTGCAGTGCCGTGTACCTGTAGATAGTGTTCACCAAGGAAGGAAAAATTGTTCTTCGTTAGTATAAGTCTCATGAGGGTGCCAACATCACTGATGGGAGGAGTCGTGTGTCCTGCCTTGGCCAGAGCCAAGGAGCAAGCACGAACTCCCTCCTCATGTGGGATGTTGGTGTACAGAGATGAGACGTCGAAAGTCCCAATGATGGCTGTGCTGGGAATCTGGTCCTTGATTCCTTCAAGCTTGCGTAGGAAGTCTGGGGTGTCGTGAATGTATGACGAAATCTGTGGGACAAGGGGTTTGAGAAAACTGTCAATGAACAGGGAGATGCGTTCCGTGGGTGAGCCATTACCGGAGATGATGGGTCTACCGGGGTTGCCAGCCTTGTGAATCTTGGGTAGAAGGTAAAATCTGGCAGTCCTACAATCACAGGGAGAAAGAAATTTGTGAGCTTTCTTCGACAACTGGTCACGTGATCGCATATCGTCAAGTACCTGTTGTATATCTTGACAGAAAGTGCCTGTGGGGTCAGAGTCAAGGCGGGTATAGTTACTGCGATTATCCAACTGGCGATGGGCCTCATCAATGTACTGCTGACGATCCATGATGACCACAGCTGAACCTTTATCTGCTGGCTTGATGATTTCCATGATGAGATTGAAAGGGGTTTGTCTAACCTTGACTCTGTCCTACTCAACAGGAGAAACAAGAAGATTGGTGGCTTGCTTGCCAAGCAACAGCAACGCAAACACAGACGTTTCAGACGTCCTAGGTCCCCATCTACCACGCCACCGCCAGAACCCCCTGTCAACACTGTAGTTAATCTTTCTTCCTCGTCAATATCTGACGCAGAGCACAAACTTCTCTCCAAGGGTCTCAATTTTTGTCCCGCTCCCCGTTCTGTGAACCAGGTTCAGCTCAGCCAAGATCTCACGGAATACTACCGTAGAATCCGCCTGCGTGAGTTTTTCCTGGACAGTGAACCGTGTGAGCCAGAGCCTTTTCGAGTCAAGAGTTCATGGGTACCCCCCAAGAATCGTGTGCCAGCCATAGAGACATACGTTCAGGTTATCAATTCCCAAGTCACTAACCCGGACAACTTCCCCCACAGGACTCATGATAATCTCCCCAGAGAGGAGCGCCTGGCTCTCAACTCCTTGCGCTCTCGCACCGACATCATCATCAAGCCAGCAGATAAAGGTTCAGCTGTGGTCATCATGGATCGTCAGCAGTACATTGATGAGGCCCATCGCCAGTTGGATAATCGCACTAACTATACCCGCCTTGACTCTGACCCCACAGGCACTTTCTGTCAAGATATACAACAGGTACTTGACGATATGCGATCACGTGACCAGTTGTCGAAGAAAGCTCACAAATTTCTTTCTCCCTGTGATTGTAGGACTGCCAGATTTTACCTTCTACCCAAGATTCACAAGGCTGGCAACCCCGGTAGACCCATCATCTCCGGTAATGGCTCACCCACGGAACGCATCTCCCTGTTCATTGACAGTTTTCTCAAACCCCTTGTCCCACAGATTTCGTCATACATTCACGACACCCCAGACTTCCTACGCAAGCTTGAAGGAATCAAGGACCAGATTCCCAGCACAGCCATCATTGGGACTTTCGACGTCTCATCTCTGTACACCAACATCCCACATGAGGAGGGAGTTCGTGCTTGCTCCTTGGCTCTGGCCAAGGCAGGACACACGACTCCTCCCATCAGTGATGTTGGCACCCTCATGAGACTTATACTAACGAAGAACAATTTTTCCTTCCTTGGTGAACACTATCTACAGGTACACGGCACTGCAATGGGCACTCGCATGGCCCCGTCGATGGCTTGCCTCTTCATGGGTGACCTCGAAGAACGCATTCTTGCCTCGGCCCCATGTCGCCCTTGGATCTGGTGGAGATATATTGATGATGTTTTCTTCATCTGGACCAGTGATGAGGACAGTCTCTTGACCTTCACTAACCACATCAATTCCTTCCACAGAACCATCAAATTCACATCGGAGTTCTCGGCTCACCAAACCCACTTTCTGGATGTCACCGTCCGCAAGCAAGGCAACTCACTAACCACTGACCTGTATTCCAAACCCACAGACACCCACCAGTACCTCCACTCCTCCAGCTGTCACCCCAGGCACTGCAAAACTGGCATAGCGTTTAGCCAGGCACTCAGACTCAGAAGAATTTGTTCTAATGATTCCGATTTCTCCCGCCATACACAGATACTGAAGAACAACTTGGTGGCCAGGGGTCACAGCTCTCGCCAAGTTCATCGTGCCATTGCCAGAGCTAAATCTATCCCCAGAAATCAAGCTCTCACGGGAAAGGCCCCTGATGCCATGGCCAAACCCATGATTCCCTTGGTTACCACGTTTCACCCCAATCTCCCTCCCCTCCGCAAAATCACTAATGACAATCATCATATCCTCCATACTTCAGATCGCCTTGCCCGCGCCATCCCCAACGGCCCCACATTGGCTTACAGGCGTCCTCGAAATCTACGGGACTTGATTGTTCGAGCTGAAGTCCCATCCTTAGATGCATCCCCTCCCACCCAGCATGGTACTTTCAAGTGCAGTTCCAGATGTGTTGTCTGCCAGATTCATATCCAGGAGTCTGACTCCTTTTCTGGCCACTCTTCTGTCACTACCCACAGAACCATTGGTAACATCACTTGTAACACCTCTAATGTCATATATCTCATTTCTTGCAGGGTCTGTGGAGTGCAGTATGTAGGTGAGACTAAGAATACGCTCAAGAAGCGTTTCTATGCCCATCGGTCAACGGTCAACACCAAGAAACTAGACACCCCTGTTGGTCATCACTTCAACCTGCCTAACCACTCCATTTCTGATATGATTTTGCAGGGCATTGAATCTCTTGGCCATCGCAAAGAGTCAGTTCGCCTCAGCAGAGAGAAGGTGTGGATGAATCGTCTTCGAACTATTCAACCACATGGTCTCAACATCCAACTTGGAAATGATTAATCCTTTTCTTCCTCCATTGTCCTCTGTCACAGATAATCCATCTGGTCTTCCTTGTTTGTGTTTACACATCTCCCGCCATCTTTCATCCCTTTCCACCTCAATACTGTCCCCCCCCCCCCGCATCATCCCTTCACTCTCACACTGTTTTGTCCGTTCCCACTCCCTGTGACCTTTGATCCTTCCCCTTTCTGGTCCCTCCCCTGTTTACACCAGACCCCTTGTGGTTTGCCATCTCCCTTTGTTTCTTTGTTCTCTCATCCACCCTCCCCTGCATCTTTCCACACCTTTCCCTCCTAATCCTCCTTTTGTGTTTCTTCTTTCAGCCCTGCATGTTTGTGTGCACCCCCATGTTAATGTATGTATCTCTGTCATTTCTGTTTTAGCCTCTGAAGAAGAACTTGCTAAGTTCGCAACGTCAGGCCACATTAATTTTAGATTTATTGAAAAAAAAAATGGTAAATTTGGAGCAGCAGTTAGGCCGACCACCATTGGAAATGTATACAAAGATACCATTTACTTGAAAATGACTTCACACCAGGTGCCATTATTTTACACAATGCTTTAGACTGTAAGGTATTTCGTTTTATTTTTCAATGCTTGCAAATGTTGTATTTTCCCTTTAAAAACTACAATGGCCAATGTGGATCACCTCAGAAATTATTTGCTGTCTATCATTGCCCTAACGGCAGAACCCAACTCCCGCACTTGGGACTTGGCTTTAGTTGGGGCCATTACCTTGTAGATCACTGAATCCACAAACTCCCAAAACTTTTGCAAGTTTGGGGAGTAGCTAATGTTAAAAACATAATGGATCTTGAACAGTCTGTCAAAGGCAGGTACAAGGTCCAATCCAGCTGGAATGACCATACGGTCAAGAACGATGAAGAACTGGGTAGGATTGATGGAGCTCTGTCCCAGCGCTAACAGAAATGGCTGTCGGTACTCCTCCTCCTTTCCCTCAACAGCACCAGCAACATCTGTTCCTAGCTGTGAAGTAAGGAGTGAAAATATTGATGCAGCATTTAAAGTATACTACATTTGTATTTATCAATGCAAAACATATTTTTAATCAATAAATAAATATATCTAGAGGGTTGACTGCATCAACAATTTTGCTCCATGCATATATTTTATTAATTCCATTTCAGTGCAAAATTTGTATTACCAAATACATACATTTTTTTATTAGTCCCACAAAAAAGATCAGTGTTTCCAATCAGCACATGCATCGCCTCAGAGAGTGCATGTCAGCAGTTTTTTAATTTTTATTTTTTTGTTTCAACAAAAATGTGTCCTGACTTAAAGATTATCTGATAAAGTGCACACATGCAGACATACTGCAAGTACTTACGGGTGCAACAGTGCAATAACATTCCCATACACAGTAGTGCTAAATGCCCATACTTCAGGATTCTTTTGAAAATACTCGGAATTCTCACAGAAAAATGATGATCAACATGTCATCTTTCATTTTCTTTTCATTTTTTGGTGGGTTGAGGAATTCTCACTCAAAGAAGATGACCTCTATTTTTCCCAAAGCGGAAAAGTAGCCATCTTGAAAAAGGATCCCGCCACAACATGGCAAAACAGTGCCACTTTTGAGCCCAAATGCATCCAAAATGCTCAGAATTGGAAGCCCCAAGTCCGGGCCAGAGGTTCATTGCCACATCTCTTCAATTCCCAAATGTTATGGCTCTCAGAACTCTCTAATATAGAATATTTTGAGGGTATAACTTTTACTCATGAGCTCGGCGGATGGGTTTAGGCTTATTTACAGGTGTGCATGTGCTTACTGGTTTATGTTGTATGAGGTGCAACAAGGCTCCTGATCTTCTGCTGCTAGTGCAAGATCCATATTTGGACTTGGTCTTGTTCACCGATCGATGAAGCATGTACACAAGGGAGCTGAGTCCACACAGGTCCTCTGATATAAATATAAGAAAAATGCTAATTACTACAATACAATAAGACATAACTTTTGAAGGTTTGCATGGTGAGTTGACAATAACATAGTCTTTGTGGTAGCACCATGTAAAATCAATCTCTTTTGTGAATGATTGTTGGTTCTGAAATGAACCGGAAACTCAACAATTAGAGAGTATACTCGGTCTGTTGTCATTCTCCTCTAGTTTGCGTCAAGGTAAATCCGTTGACTTTATGGTTTTCACTGGGCTTTTGCCCCTTAAAGCACTAATTAAAGAATTTTGGATTTTTTTAAGGGTCTGAGGTGGATTATTTAAGGGTTGGGGGAGGGGGGGGGGTGAGTTTGTTTCTGCATTCAATTAAGGGACGTTGCACAATAGAGGACAATAGGGTCCACAAAAGGTCCCCAATTTACGATCGTGTACAAATCATACGGCTGGTCCTCCTAAAAAATTAGACTACAAACAAAAGAGGGACAATAGGGGGCCCCCAATTGCAGGCAAATACACACTTGGGTGTGTGTTTTGGGGATACATTTCATTTGCCTCTGTTCTTTCTCGATCATCATAAATATCAATCATTAACACAGAATGAATGCATCAACTCAATGTGCTTGTGATTTTGAAAAATACACACATGTACCAAGGATATTAATTTACATTGTACATTTGGGATTGACAATGCACACATTTTCCTTTTTGGAATTAAGGCATATATTGTACATGTAAATGTTTGCATTCAACTTTATGGATTGGATTAGGTCATTTTGTAACTTACTGTTTCCATCCTCAAAAGAGGCGATAAGCTCACGCACTGCAAGGTACTCTTTGTTTGCGATTGCGATAATGGCATCTCGATAAGCTCTCCATTTGGTAATGAAGTTATCCTGTGCGTCCTTGTACATTATTCCAAATTCAATGTTGACCTGTTGGACAAATAAATTGTAAGGCATTTTTTTAACAAAATATTTGAATTTGAAGGATTTAGGATATTCACTATTTTCCTAGAAAATCAAACAATTAGGAAATAAATTTACACAGAAAGGCATTGCTTGGGCCATTATCGGGGACCAGGTTCCTCACCAGTCATAAACTACAAGTTATACACATGCCCCAGCACACCCATGTTTACATAACATACGTAGTGTGGCATTTCTTTGTTTTCGTGTAGTTAAGAAAAACCTGTGAAAAAATTAATATAACTCACACTGTGAAAACTCTTTCAACCCAATTTTTTTTCTAAAAAAATGTTTTGTGTTTTGCTTAATTTTGCCACAGGTAAACCTTACCCAAAATGCCTCTAAACCTATTTTCCAGAGAGGGGGAAACACTGTGTGGACGTCGCTGCTGCCTGGTTTATGTGGACTGCTTTTGTTAGGAAGTCCACACATTGAATGTAATCCCTGTACACTTTTATTCCCTGATTATTTTTCAGTTTGAAAATTATTTTCATTTAAAAGTTGAGGGAGAAAATAGAGAAGATAGGTGCTAATTATCTTACCAACTCTGGATAGTCTTGGAATCGGGGAAACATATTCAATATGTCTGTTGCTGTCCTTTGATCATGCCCTCCTTCGATGAACTGCCTACGATACTCGTGGGTTTCCTTTAAGTATTGAACGTGCTTCAATTTGTTCTCCTTATTTGGTGGGGTGTATCTCATCCAGTTAACCTGTAGAAGTATCAGACCAAACCAACACTAACAACTTTGGCTCTCTCTATGAAATAGAAGTAAAGACAAAAATACTGCATGGTTTTTAATCAAGGTTCCTCCATTCATAAAAGTAGGAAAGCCTTTGCAATGTAAAAGGTTGCAGAATTGGTGTCTGTAAAGACTGAAACCTGGGTCTATCAAATAAAAAGCCCATAATACAATAACATTGTTTGATTTTTTTCCCTAATTTTCACAAGGAAATAAGACGATTCCTGTATTGATTCTATTTCTCAACGTCTACAAAACGCGACAATCCTGAGATATTTACTTTGTGAAAAGAACAAAGTGGAGAAGTGTGCAAACTACATGTAAAGACCTACCATCTCTTCGTCTTTGGGGCTCATCAAGGCCTCTGCAGATGTAAGCTGCTCTTCACTATGATCAGCTCCTGGCTGTACTGGCTGAATGGCTGTACTTGATGAGCGGCGGCGTTTCTGCATTTCTTCTGGCTTAAGTTTCGTCCGAATGGTCTTCAACCGGTACTCTATGAATCCTGCCCCATTGTGGTAATAGTGTTCCTGTAGAAATGAAGGAAATAAGGGAGTTAGTTTTTCTATTTTGAGGGCATAGCTACGTGAATTCTGTGTACTTGTTTCCAAGAAATATAGCGACCCCATTCTATCTCAAATGAAAAACAATATGTGTAAGGAGTATAAACAGGAAATTACATTTAATCATTCTGTCACTTCCTTATTGTGTGCACTTCTGTTCTTTGTAATACAGACCCACATATGTAACATAATTTTCGGAATACAGACAGCAGCTTAAACATTGATTTTCACGCTGAAAACGTTTTTGCGTTCGCAGATCTACCAAACAAAACCCTGGTTGGTGACACATGCATGGGTGAACCAATGGAATTTCCTCTGAGAAATATGTTATAATTGCCTCTCTTCCATGAGAAATTCTGTATGTTATGCAAACAAATTGTAAACATTGTGAATTATATTGGGCGCAGCATTTATTGATTAAAATGAAAAATCACTTTACTGTCAGTTGGACATCTGGTTTGGAAGTGTTTTAAGAAAGGCTTGTGGTTATCTAAAACAGGGGAAAAAAACACAGTCTGGCTGCAACCCCACATGCCTGGCATGCAGTGTGAAGTGATATTGCGAAGGGGAATGTCCCTGTCTTATAGTCTAGGAACTGGCCCTCAAGTTTCCACATGGACTCTCAGTTCAGGGAGTGATGCGCTAGCGAATGCTCCAGAGGGCGCATGTTTATTTACCAATATTCCTTGCCAATAAAAAAGAAATTGACTACTATCAATTCATGGTAGCAGAGAGCACTATTACCCCAATGTCTCCTTGAAATATTGGTGCTTTGTCCTTTTGTAGCGACATACAGGCAGTATACAACACCTGTATGATTTCTGTGCTTCTGGTGCGGTGGTTACACCAACACGCTTGCACGGCACCGGCATGAAGTCAAACTGGATGATGATGCCTAGCGGCGATATCTAGTCAACTTTCTGAGATTCTGAGAACACTGAATACTTTGTTTAAGTTTTGGGTGCACTGTGGCATATTCCCTACACGACCTATATTCCAAAATTATTGATAAGATATATACTTACATGACCTTGTAACCCTTCCGTAGTGTCCTGTGTCGAAGGGTATGTCTTCGTGATAAGTTTGGCCATTTCAGTCTTTTGCATTGAAGTTGGCCATCTAAGACAAAAATTGGACATAACAAACATCCATAATAAGGCAAAGTTGATTTCAAAACCAAACCCATGTGTATTCTGACATTTATATGAATACAGTGAAACACCGCCACAGTAAAACAATGCTACAACGAACACTGCTGCAACAAATATTTAGCTATATAGCGAACATCCCTTTAGGCTCCCAAATACTAAATTATATTATAACGCTCAATCACAATGGGCTCTGTGCACAAGTATTCCTTCAATGACCAGAAAAGTTTGAGGAGTACTGAGGAGTTGGGGGAGACCTAGACTGGTTCCTGATTCATCTATTGCGTATTTTGAATGATACAAAGTTATTAAGGGCGGGGATAAGTCTGGGAGACCATCGCAAGTTACATTTGACTATATACAGATCATGTTCACGCAGCATGAAAGCACAGACAATGTCAAGTCATCTGTTACTATATTTAACCCCATATGGACAAAATATGCCTCTGGCCATAAATATATCTGGTATAAATATGAAAACACAATACTCACAGCCCATTGCCACCCTTCTCCACCATGGTTGCCACAGCAACTCGAACCAATAACTGCCTCTGTGAAGTTGAAGGTCTTCCACCTGCTCGCAAATGCTTCACTACATCTCTTCCATCAGAAATGGCAGAAAGTTCTTCCTCAAGGTTTATTTTCTGTGATAGTCAAAGAAACAGAGCTCTGGATGTACATGTACATGTATAATGTAGAAAGCTGCAAAGTGTGTGTGCATTTTAAGTCCCAGGACACCTTGGCTCAACATTTTTATCAAAAACATGCCCAGTTGAGAACAGTTCTGCAGTCCTTCTGATTTGAGGCGTGCGATCACACCCCACGCTATCACACGCCTAAAAGCTTCCTGAGAAGTGCGAACAATTGCACCCCTGAATTTCCCTGAGCCACAGAATCACACACCTAGAAAATCACACACCTAGAAAAACCACACGCCTAAAAAATCCAGGTGTGCCTTTTACCACACGCCTGTGATTTTCAAATCAGAAAGACTGCTACTGGTACATGTATGTATGGGCTAAAGACGAGCATGTGTGTCTGTGTGAAGCAGAGGGGGTTGTTAACGGGTTTTTTTGTAAAATAATTTTAGTAAGCACAATCTTACCTGAGTTGAGAAGGAACTCTTCACCGATGTACGCATCTTCTTGGTAGGAACTGCAGCATGGTCACCTGAAGTGTCCGATGAAGCACTTGAACGAAGAAAAATCCTGGAAAGATACAATTATAAAAATACATGATTGTATCCCACTGTCTTATCTATGTGCAATGTACCTGGAGCAGAATCTCTGCTGGTATTACTCTCACCTTCAGAAACATATGCCTAACTTGCTATTCGGAAAGAACAAAGGGTAATATAATTACATGTTAGCCAAACAGAAACAAACCATCACACTTGAAGACATACAGGAATACTATCAAATGGTACAATGTATCTTGAAACATGGTCTAAAAATACTGAAATGTAGGTCAGAATATTTGCTTGGAAAGAAGTCGGCACAAACACGCACCGGTACATGTACAGGCTCATCATCTGCATGTTTCTGTTCCACTGGCTCCGGCATGTTTAGCTTTCCTATTGCCAACTTCAACTGTCTTCGCACACCAAAACTAGTGATGCCAACTTCCCGAAGATCCTCTTCTGTCATTGTCCGGAAGACCTCCATATTGACATCATTCCCTGAGGAAATAAAAATCAACATCTATTGCATACAAGCAACAATTATAACACAATTAGGCCACCAGCCTCGGTCCAAAACTGTTAGGTTACTACGAATAAAGCTTTGTGGTTCATGCATTTGGGTCATTCTATAAATTATGGGTCCAATATGAAATAGTGGTTTTCCTTTAATTTAAGTAAACAAGAAATGGATTAAACTTAATGATTCTTTGTGTAACAAATTCCAATAAGTTGCTTTGAAAAAAAACACACAAATTTGTCATCTTGATCCCATTTAGTTCTTGTTTTGGTGAAAATAGGACGAACATTCTCATATTTTTAGCTAAAAAGTGGGACAAAAATTAGTCTCGAAATATTCATATTTTTGCCTCCTTAAAAACTGTCATTTTTTTACATGTAGATCAAAATGATGGATGCACTACCTCAGTTTCAAAATGCGATACAATTTTTAAAGAATTAAATGTGTGAAGATGTCAGTGATATGGTGCTCCCCAATATTATGGTTTCACATGTAACATTTGGTGTCCCCTTGTCACTGTCCTTGTCCTTGTCACACATTAACATGGTATTGTGTGGTGTCCCAGTTACGTGTAAAACCTAGTGTTTTTAATATTCCAGATGACATGAAGTTGTTAAGGATCTCCTATCTTGTAAAAAGGCTTTCGTACCCTTTTAATGCAATGTCCCTAACTTTAGACGCCTAATCTATAGAATAACCCATTTAACAAATGTACACTTCTGGTAATGAATTTTCCCCAATGGTAATATTGAAATACTGGACAATGTACCTGGGTAATTGCTGCAGGGCATATCGAGGACAAATGTAGACAGATGAATTTTCCTCGAAGGAACTTAGTCCACTAAGTGGTTGGAAATCTAGCAGATCTTCCAGCACAACAACAGAAAATTCTGACTCAGTCAGTTCCGACACTTTGTATGCATGGAAATGGGTGATGAAGTCAACTGTTTGGCACTTGCAGACAACAAATTTTACACTTTCCGGGGTCTTCCCAAAGACTAACACAGATGCAATTCTGCCAAACTGAGGCTCACCATCAACGGATCTCGACAGCGCCAAATACAACTTTGGCTTGTAGATAGTTCCATATAGTGTCACTTCACTTGCAAGGAATACTTCCATCTCATCATCACAATGGAGCATTTCTGCAACTGTCGCACTTCCTTCCAGATGTAACCAGGTCGGGTTGCAGTACTTACTTTTCCCCGACTGGTTCCTTACTCCAGCATTATTTCATACCAAACTTTTGTAACTTCGTGTTTGTGTAGATTTACATGTGAGCAGCCATTGCGATCATGCTTTTTGACAAGCGCCCTCTCGCGGCCAACTAAACTTTTTTTTAACAGCGCGCGCCGCCTAGAATTTTGCTTAACTATGCGATGGGCGTAGCGAGCGTGCAAGTTTTGCATTCCACCGCGCTTTGTTTAAGAGGAATAGTTGACATTCCGGGCGTTTCGGTATATTTTTCTTGTAGGGCCTGCTGCGGAATATTGTTGATTTCGATCCAACATCTTGTTGCGAGCAGACCATCTATTACGAGCGCTTACACTCTCCACTTTTATTGAAATTTTGAGAGAGGCTCCCTATACTGCAGTAGAATAGTTTCATCTATTTTTTGCTGCTTCTACTTCGATTTTCACATCGGACACGGAGTAGGCATGAACGTAGATCTTCCCAAGTGATTAATATCCTTGGAGCTACTTCATTAGCCATTCCCCTTTTGACTGTCGTTTTTATATACCCAACCAAGTTTCTAATATAATTCTTGTGTAAATATCTAATAATTTGTATATATTGTCTCTATTTGTATTATAAATAAAACCATTTCATATTTGTGAGACTACAGAAAGTTCGCTCTTCCCAAATTATTTTTTAGTGGAACCACTCGGACATAAGGAGAGTGCCCCATTTTAACAAACTAAATTCCACTCTCCCCGGTTACACTTGGCGTAGTCGGCAGGATAGCTTTGCTATCCACTTTATTTTAGATTTGGGAGCGAAATTAGATAACTTAAATCAGGGTTTAACGACAGTCAAATATATAGGGAATTCGCCTGGCACTGATGAGACCGGGAGCTCTAGCTGTGGCGTCGTTCTGCTCGTGACGATTGGGAGTCCAGGCTAAGCTCAGCATCGGCATAGTAGGCCCAGCGGAGGTTGGGTACCAGACCAGGTTGACTAAGGAGGGGTGTACCGGCCCAGGTTCCTGCCGCCGTCCTTACTTGGTGCCATCTGGAAAGACACACATTTTTCTCCAAGAGACTCTGGTGCTGCCTTTAGACACCGCTGAAGCTCTGAATCTTGTTCCGGCTGGACTGTACCTGTTGCATCTGGGCGGTTGTTCCTGAACGGGTCATTGCGGTCGTCCAATTGACTGCGTCTTCTTGGTAGTGCCCACCGCCAGAGAACCACTGACTGACCTCCAGAGTGGGCTGCAGGAGTGGTCATCTGCTGCCATTTGACGCCACTGAACTGTCGAGATCCAAGAATAGAACTCCTTCCATCTTGGTGGCCGTCCATCGAACTGACAGCGACGATTGGTCTCTGGAGCGGGCTGTAGGAGCTGCATTTTCATATTTTTGCTGGTGGTGGTAATATTTCTTGCTTGTGATTCATTGCATTGATATTGTTCTCTGAAAACCTAGAAAAAAGACAAAGAACAAAACAAAATTGTACATATTATGTGAGAAAATTTATATTGTCATTTGTATACTGCATTTGTAAAATTAGCACTTAATATAGAAGGAGCATCCAAGAATTTTGTCTCTTCTCATAACATTCTAGAGAGTTGGTGTTATAGTAACCTGCTCCTTAGCTCTAAATTCGCTCTTTTATAGCAATTTAAGGAGCATCCAAGAATTTGTCTCTCCTCATAACATTCTAAGAGTTGGTGTTCCACTGACCTTAGCTCTAGATTTGCTGTTTTATAGCATTTCAGTATCACCTTTGGAATTTTTGGAATTTTTGGAATTTCTATTTAAGTGTTTGGAATTCTTGATTATTCTTTATAGTCTCTATTTGAGCTTTGTCACAAGTCTTTTTGGTGTGAACATTTTAATGCCCCTGTGGCAGATGTCTTTTCATTTATATTTTTCTGTGCATGCAGATTTGGGACATACTACCACTTGGGTGACTACGTTCATGCCATCCATCCCTTCTTCCACCCCGTGATTCACCTGTCATCTAGCTGCACGTGATCTACCGTGCTTGGGTTCTAGACTTAGTGGACTGTGTAAGTGCACTGCTGCTAAGCGTTAAGGTTGCATATTACTAGGTTGCGCTTGCTGCGTACAGGCATTTGTAAGCAAAACCACATATTTTTGTACATATATTCACCTTTTATCCCCAATAAGCAGCAGGTTTTCCTATCATAACACTAGTCATGCCTAAGGAAATGGAGGGGGCAGAAGGAGGTCCTAGTGTGTCACATCTCATGGATGAACTTGAAGACTTGCGTTCCTTATTCCATCAAACACAGGAATTTTCCAAAGTCAAAAGTCCGACTTATCTGTTGGTTCCTAGCCAAAAGAAATTACAGTCTTTTTCTGGAAAATCTTCAGATATTAAGTTAGAGGACTGGATTTATGATGTCAGTACTGCTGTAAAGGCCCGACCCTTGTCTAAGAAGGCAGAAATAGATTTTGCCCTCCAGTATCTAACTAGTTCAGCTAGAGAGGAGGTCAAATACCACAAAGTAGGTAGTTTGGAAGCCCTATTTTCTGTCTTGCGAGACACATTTGGGGATCATGGCTCATCTGTTCGTCTGCAACGGACATTTTTTGAACGGAAGCAGACACAGGAAGAGTCCTTAACTTCTTTTTCTCACTCCCTTCTTGACCTGTTCACTAAGGCTGCCAGGAAGTGCCCTCAGCTCATGGAGAAGCGAGAGCATCTCTTAAAAGACCAGTTTGCAGAGGGGGTCCACGATGTTCTACTTCGAAAGTACTTGAAAAGTAAGCTTCGTGGTTCACCTGGCATCGACTTCTTTGCCTTGAGGACGGAAGCCATCGAGTGGGCTGAGGAGAGTGAAGGGGCTGCCTCTTCTTCCAATCCTGTGACCATCAGTAGACAATCGGCAAAAGAAGAACCGAGTGCCAGATCGTTACTTGACATCATGGTCAAACAACAAGAGCAGATCGATCATCAGCAGAAACAACTGGATGAATTGACTACCCTTGTCCAGCAATTAGCCCAAGCCAAGCCCAATAACTCCACTGGCCGACAGCAGACGAAGGTAACTTGTACATTTTGTAGCAAGGCAGGACACACAGCAGAGAGGTGCTTCAAGCGACAACTCAAAGAAGCACATGGTACGATTGAAGAGTTGAGGAAAGCAACGAAATCCCCTCCAAGTCAGGGAAACTAACTCCTCTCTCGGACCAGGGTCCCTTCGAAGAGAGGGAAACTACGGACCCTTTTTGTAGTTCTTGTTTTGCTGAGGCGCGTCCTTCCACCTCTAATGTTGTTGGTAGTTGTCCCACACTCACTCTTAGACTAGGGACTGTTGAGACAAAGTGTCTCCTTGACACAGGCTCAATGGTTTCTACTGTAACTGAAGAGTTTTTCCTGAACCATCTGAAACCAAAAGGTACCGAGTTAAGGTCTTACGGCCCCTGTTTGCGGATCACAGCTGCCAATGGCTTGGAGATACCATATGTTGGGTATTTGGAGTTAGACCTGAATTGTGATGGGATCATTTTGCCTCAGATGGGTTTTCTAGTCGTCCGCGATCCAGTTGATGTTGACATCAAGAAGGAGAAACAACTAGTTCCAGGTCTCCTTGGGATGAATGTTTTAGCTCCGTTGGTTAGCGCTTTGGGTGATGCCAGCTTAGCCACAACATCTCCTCTACACTTTTTGCAGTCTGTTCTCTGTCTTCAGATAGATGCTCAGGCCAGAGAGCAAGATGTTGTGTCTTTTGTGCGATCTTCCAATCAGTCTGTCTACATTCCTGCTAACACTTCTGTTACTGTCATGTGTTCAGCTCCTCAACATGTGTCCTTTCAAACAGCGGTTGTTGAGCCACTCCGTAACAGTGATCACTTTCCAGTTGGTATCCTTGTGGCATCTTCTCTGGTCAAGGCTGGCAGGACTGTTCCAGTCAGGATTGACAACATTTCTAGCTCAGGTTTTACCTTGCGTCGTAGAACCCGAGTAGGTGTCCTCCGAGCAGTTGATCGTGTGGTGGATGATGTATTGAAAGTTGACTTTGAAGTATCCTCTGAAGAGATTAGAGTCAATAAAGCAGAAGTCCCTGTTGCCTCTCCTTCAGTTCCAGTAGACATCTCCGGCTTTGAAGGCACCTTAGAACAACAGAACAGAATCAAAGATCTGCTAGAGAAACACAGAGATGTCTTTGCTAGTCATGACTTTGACTTGGGTGATACCGACACTGTGGAGCATCACATTGAAACCACCAATTCTCAACCAGTTTCACAAACCTACAGAAGAATACCCCCCAATCAGTACGAGGAAGTCAAGAAACATATACAGATGCTACTCACCCACAACATCATCCAGGAGAGTCACAGTCCATATGCCTCACCCATAGTTCTCGTCAGAAAGAAGGATGGTAGCCTCCGCATGTGCGTTGACTACCGGCGCCTTAATGCTGTCACCAAGAAGGATGCATTTCCTCTCCCTCGCATCGACGAACTCATCGACGCTCCTGTTGGTGCGAAATTCTTTTCGTCATTAGACTTGGCCAGCGGATACCATCAAGTGCGGGTTCGAGAGTCTGATCGGGAGAAGACAGCCTTTATCACACCTATGGGCTTGTATGAATACACCC